CTTAAAAGCGAAGTCCGTCCTTTGAAATCCATATTTAAAAATTTAGAACACGAATCAATTGAGTGTACTCCTTTACATAATTTACATTGAGCCACATCAGATTTCGTGTGATGAGATTTATACTGCTTAGATCTGGAGGAAGTTTGCATATGTTTTTGCGAAAATGACTGCGATTCTATGGGACACTGATTGCTATTTAAAATCTCTGAGACACTTTCTAAAGCATGGAATCTATCTGTGAGAAAATTATTTAATTCTGACCACGATGGTACTTCTGTTTTATTTTTCACTGATTGTTCCAAAATTATTAAGCGTTTGTTCGGACAACCTCGAGGAACACTGGAACACAAATATCGGATCCCAAGTCTCTATATCAATATTATATAGTTTTAGCACTGAGATACAATTGTTCACTTCTCTTTGAAGTCTTTTCACTTCCTCAGCTGATTCCTTACTACACGGTGTCAGATTGAATAACAATTTTAATTGACTATTAACCAGAATCCTTTTGTTTTCATATTGAATTTTCAAATTATTCCACGCTATGTCAAAATTATCTCCAGTCAGGGCCACATTTCTGTTTATTTCTCTTGCTTCACCTTCAGTTTTTTGATATAAATAAAACAGTTTTTCAACTTGACTTAACCTTGCATTGTTTATGAAGATAGCAGTGAACATGTCCCTAAAAGTTGGCCATGTTTCATAACTTCCATGAAAAACTCCAGTGTCACACGGAGGGACAGGACAAGAAAAACCTTGAACAGATTGAGCCACCTGACTTTGTACCACAGTCTTTTCCCCTAATAATGTCTTCCTTGCGGCAACAATTATGTTTATACACTTTATATAGGATCTTCTTACATCCTTATGCTTTGTTTGTATCGCCACAAATTTCTTCTCTTTCCCTTCTTCCGAACTACACTCATCATAAGCTTTCTTGTATTTTGTCCAAACCTTAGTGAACTCACTTTTCTCAAAATCCTAAGCTTCTGCAGAATAGTCCGAAAAATCTTCTTCCCTTAATCTATCTTCTATTTTTAGGATTTCATTTCCAGAGTCCAAGCATTTCTCAAAATTGTCCATTGTGCTCGATTACTTTTTAGAGTATTCAAAGAAAAGCCACTAATTTCAATTAAAATCGTATACTCGATGACCAAACACAATGGTTTTTTAAAAAATGACGCTTAACGCGCACTTGGAATATGGCGCTTGACGCACTCGGATTATGGCGCTTGACGCACTCGGATTTATAACCACAAAGACACAACCTACTATGTCCCTCACAGAGCCACACAAATCCAATTTATTGTTATAAATATAAAAATACACTTTTATACTTCAAATCAATAAATTTTTCACTTTTTGTTCTGAGCCACCAATGTGCGCTTCGAACCACAATACGTACCTGGATCACCTCGTACTTATTGTTACCAAAAAAAATCCTTTTGATAAGAAATGGCTCCGTTTCCAGCTTCCACGGCTTTGGTAGGCAATGGTTATCTTCTCCTGACGCTTCCACGGCTTTGGTCTTTTTTGGCGGTAGAAGGACCAATGATTATCTCCCTTTCCTTTCCTGAGTTTTTAATTCAGTTTGTAATCGAATTTTGTTTCAGTTTCAAATTCAAATATTATTTGTACAAAAGGTAATGTGCGGGCTGAACTTCTCTGTTCGGTGGTTTGTTGGCGATTATAATCTCGGTTATGTGCCGTATGCATACAGGGATTCGACTCTGGCTAGTGGGTGTCTAAGAATCACGTTAAACTAACACATAACTATTACAAAGTAGGAATCACCCTGTTAACTCCGAGACTACATCTTCCACATCGACGGAGAGTAACAATGGGTTTACATCATATTGGAATAAAGCATGATTTAACAATATCATTAGAAATTATATTTTTAAATAAAAGTAATAGAAAATCAAAATAAACTATTTCAACGCAACCAGTATTATTTAGTAATCCTCTTCCTTGTCGAAACATTGCAATTGAATTTATTTTTCAAATAAATAATCATTTTATTAATAGTTAATAAAATGCGTTTGATGGAACAAGATACAAATATCAAAGTGAGAAACTTTGATTTTAAACGATATAATAGCGGAAAACCCAAACATAGTCAATTGCTACCAAACTCTATAAGAGCTGTAATAGTTGGCCCATCGAACTGCGGAAAAACAAATGTTATGATTAGTTTGATTGAAAGTCCTAATGGATTAAAATTCGAAAACATTTATTTATATTCAAAATCACTTCATCAACTAAAATATAAATATTTAGAAAGCTCATAGCTCCTATAAAAGGAATGGGGTTCTACACATTTTCCGAAAATGCTGATGTTATAGAACCAAATGATGCTGAAGAAAACTCTATAATGATATTTGATGATGTTGCTTGTGAAAAACAAAATAATATTCGTGCATATTTTTGCATGGGGAGACACAAAAATATCGATTCTTTTTAAACTTACCTTGATTTTGATGGAGAAAATGGATAAGGAGGATAGTATGGATGATTGGCAATTTTGGTACGGCAGTTAAATCCGGTTCGAATGGACCAAATGTAAATACCAAATATGGGTATTTCTGTGGAGTAGAAAGCTGGTTATACTTCTGTTTTGGACAGAAAACTATTCTGTGGAATTCGAAATATTTTACTCTCGTTTTTGCAGATGTGGATAAGGAAAAAGGAAAGGAAATAAAACGAGCGTATCAGTTTTGTTTGAAAGAACAATTCTGGTTCTTTATTTAGAATTCAAATTTGAAGATTTGAATAGCACTTATCAAATTCAAACAGTTGTGGTTGACGTTAAGGTAACAAGTGATTTTATTTGGAACAAAGGAAAATCGGGAAACCAAAGAGAGGGCACAAACGGACATATTGAGTGATTGAGCGCTACAACACAAGCACAACTTACGAGTGCGCGCGAAACTTAGCTTTTGAATTAGGGTGACCAGATCATCAAACTTTCGCATGAACAAAGGTAAATGTCAGGAAAATTTGAGGAAAACCGAAAAGCAGAAAATGCAGCGTCATCCTATTTGTATGAGAGGGGGAAAAAAGGAAAACGCGTAGTATGTGGTCATAAAAGTAAAATAATTAAAACTTGCAAATTTCAAAATAAAATAGTGTTGTATATTTATTTTATTATCTATGTTGAGGGCGTTAGGAATAGATTGTAAGTGATCTTTGCATGAATTATAATTGTGTAGATTTGTGAGTGTTTTTGTGTTGTATGCTTTTATGTTTTTCAGTGTTTCGCCAAAATAACTTAAAGATATCAAGGGTATCAGCTGGCCTCCCCGCAAACAAAAGCGGAGAGGTCGACCCAAAAATAACGGTCACAGCAACCGCCACAGCGAAAATTTTTGGCCACAGTAACCGCCACCATAACATCAATTTTTTGGATCGCATGGCAGTCACAACTATTCCCAATTTCCTTGATCCATAATATCCGGGTTCTGCCTTATCCCGCTGGACGAGGTCGCGAAAGAGTGATCCTGGAAAAGAACAAAGCAAGTTGTACTAAAGATAGCAAAAAAGCCAGGTAACAAAATTATTTATGAAACTTACAGCTTGCTTGGTTCTATCAAGCATAAAAAATGAAAAAAAAAAAACAGAACCGCGAGAGAAGTCCTGCAATAGAAAAAAAGAGAAATTCCATTAAAAATCATTTAGAAAAGAAAAGGCAAATAAACTTATATAAACTAAGAGAATAAAATAATCAAAAAAAAAAAAAAAAAAAAAAAATTAATTAAAATAAGACATTTAGGTTAAGTTGTGTTGTCTAAGTATATTATTGTTTTTTTTTTGTGTTCAGCATAAATGTTCTTGTTTTGTGAGGGCCATTAATTATTCTAAATTTTAAAAGTAAATTGGAGTGTAGGGTTAACTCTAATTACTTTGAGTCTTATATCTATGAATTTTTGAGTTTCCGTTGAATATTTGTGGACCAGTTTGCGGGTCCCCACACCACCTAAGAGAGCTCGTTCAGGCAGGAACTAATTGCATTTCTTAGAAAGTCCAAAATTAGGCGACATCTAATTGACTGAAATAATTAAGGGTAGTCTGATATGTATGAACCCAACAAATAACAACTAAAATATCTTGATAGTTAATGTTTCAAATTTCAGTTTGGAAGTTTTGTTTTAAGGAAATTATATATTGTAATAAACCGTTTGTTATATGATTGTCTGTGTAATCATGAGTGGCTAGTTTGTTGTTAAGAGAGTGAAGTTGGTGTACATTGTACTGAGGTGAGTAGATTAAATCGGCATTTATATAGGATCTTAGGGTCAAGGTTGGGCGGGCTAGTGTGGGAGCAGAAATATCCAGTTCCTTTGTTCCAGATGTACGTAGTGTTTGTGTTATGTAGAATTTGTGTTCATCCATTAATTGTTCGTCCTCAGGGCTATTGGTGTATGGGATGGAACCGACCCCTGAACATGGCTCCTGAGCAAGTGGTCACAACACCATAGTGCCGACGCAGGTGGCACGTAACAAAGTGAAGTTGTTAATCCAAACTGGAACAGAAATTTCGGCTTAAGCTTATCAGGATCTCGAGGACCAAATGAAAATACCAAGAATTTGTCGGTAATTTTCCTGTAGAAAGTGAAGGCGCTTAGAAACCGAACCAAAGAAATATTGGTGGAAACACAATATTTCTTCCAAATGGATATCAGGATGTATAGGAATAAAAGAGAAAAAGACAAACGGATTAAAGTGTTGAATTAAACAATATAGAAATATACTTAATTGAAAGGAAATTTTAGGTTTTTTTTTTGAAACGAATTCTAACCGCTTGTAACAATGGTTGAATTGTAAGTAAGTGAAAAGAGAAAAGAAAAAGTCCGTGAAAGCACAGACGACATGTTTCGAAAATGAAAGCAGAACGCATACATATACGAATAAGCAAGCGGCAAAGTCAAAGTGTATGTGAGGAAAATCATTGAAAAAGAAACAGAAAAACCTGAAATGCTGGAAGTAATGATATTTTCCTTTCACCCACGATTTTGACATTAACAAGGTGATTTTGCAAACGCGTCCTTTAATTGTAAGAAAACTACATAATAATACTAAAATTGCTGTTGGGTGAAGGAATAAGGTTGGAATCCCGAAATTTGTTATTTAGGTCTCTGTTGGTGTCTGTGGTTAGGATATGGAAGTGGGTTTGGAAATGTGCTCTATATTTGTAAGAAAACTTTTAATAATACTGAAATTGGTGTTGGGTGAAGGAATAAGTTTGGAATCCCGAAATTTTGGTGTTTAGGCCTCTGTTGGTGTCTGTGGTTAAGATATGGAAGTGGTTTTGGAAATGCGCCCTATATTTGCAAGAAAACTACTTAATAATACCTACATTGGTATAAGGCAACCCGAAATTTTTTATTAGGCCTCTGATGTTGTCTGAAGTTAAAATATAGAGGTAGTTTTTGAAAAGCGTCCTATATATGTACGAAAAGTACTAAATAATACTAAATTTGGTATTGAGTGACAGAACAAGGCTGGAATCATGAATTTAGTTATATATGTCTATGTTGGTGTCTGAGGTTAAGATATGGAGGTAGAGGGGGTAGCTGATTTTGAATTTTAAAGCCAAAATTTAGCTAAAAGTTAGTAATTAGTTTCACTAGAGAATAATTAGGGTCTGAAATGGGGGTCATTTATGTGGATTCAGTAGCCGAGGTGAAATGGGGATAATTAATGTGAAATGCAGTGTTCAATGCATTGCCTATGACTTATTTTTCATGATGTTTGATTTGTACGTGATTTGTTTGCGTGGTTTGTTTAAGCATAGAAAATGCAGGTGTGTAATATTTTTAGGGGATTATTGTGTGTTATGTTTAAGACGAACTGTAGTAAGATGATATTTTGACCGGGTGATGCGGGTGGTTATGTGTATGTGTGTGTGTGATGGTGCCTATGACTTATTAACCACGGGGCATTCTATTGCAGTTAATATCGTGTAGTGAGTTATTGTATGCATATTTTAGGGGATGTTTGTGTGTGTATGTTGTTTGAGACACACTCAGTGTCGAGATGGCCTTTTTTTAGGATGGCGCCTAATATCTTTACATTACAAATGTGTGTTTGAATTATAATTTTTTTTATTTGGAATTTCCTTACTAAAAATTTGTGTGGGATATACTTAAGATTTTTTTTGTATATTTGAATTATGAATTAATATATATATATAATATAAATACGGAAAAAGGTTGTCAATTATTCTAAAAATATTGTTTGAGTAATAGAATCTTGATATTCGTCAAGTGTAAGATGAATTTATTGGTGACAACCAAGGGTTTCTATAATAGTGTGATATGTTTATTTAATTTATATTGGCTCCTTAAAAAAATATCCACAAGAGAAAGGACTTATGTGTATAAAAGTAATATTCATTTTTAGGAGTTCAATCAGTTTAGTGATATCATTATAAGCAACACCATGTCTTTAAAAGTTTTGAACGAGTCATCTATGGAGAATTTGGAAGACCCTTTTGTAACACAGATTTTTGAAAAGGAGGAATGGTTCAGCCCGGAAAGTTTAGCGAAAATGGAGAACCATTTGGTGGCCAAAGGAGTAATTTTCCATAAAGATGCTCTAGGTTTAGAGAATATGGATTGGTCGGATGATATCGATTGGTCTAAGAAGGAAACACCTACCGAAGATGAAGGGACAAGCAACAAAATATCCCCCGAGGGAGCTGGTGAAGAAGGAACATCTGAGGAAACATGGTGCGAGGAAGAAGAAGAAAGATCGTTAGTATCAGATATATGGGATGCATCAAGAGAAGACTTGATAGAAGATTGTCTAAGGGTACGGATACCTGAGGGGCAAAACATTTATGAGTTGGAAGCGACAGACACATATTTCACTGATTATCTCCCTGAAAACCCAATAATATTATCAGTGGAGAGTTGGCCAAATGAAATTGAAGATGCGGAGGAATGTGTGAAGGAGGAAACATATGATGAGCTGGAAGGTGTTATTAAAGATAACATTATCGATTTATGTAGTGAAGCTGAAAGCGATGATGCAATGGAAGATGTTGCAAAGGATTTAAATAGGTATAAGAATATCATAAACCAATTTAATAATAAACATAACGAATAAAACAATAAAATCATGACTTTTTTTTGCTTTGGTTTGGGGCTGGTAATATTATTATTATTTGTTTTTGTTAATAAAATAAAAGAAATATGAATAAATAATTGTTGTCTTTTTATTATGAGGGAATAAAAAAAAGTGAGAGTGAGAAGGGGGTTTGTCTTCTCATTTTATTTAATTATTGCGTAATACATTTTAACAATATTAATGGATGGGTCGGATTGGGGGTGGAGTCAAACATAAGCAATATCATATAAATAAATGCAACATTCTATGAATATCATACAGTTTAAAAACAAGTGTTATAAGATGAATTCCTGCACTGAATTAGTTAATTCTTTCAATTTTCTTTAAGAAAATACTAAGTATGAAGAATATAGAAGCTAATAAGGAATATTTAATAAGCGGCGCCTACAAAACGCAAACAAAATATGGAATGAAAATTGATTTAAAATTGGAGGACTCTATATTCTATCTACCAGCAAGATTCATTTCTCTAGGAGATGAAGCTATAATGAAACTGAGTGAAGGAGGATTTTCAATTGCTAAGAAACCATTGAATGAAGCGATTAATACCACCACCTTTAAACTAGAATTAAAACATATTTTACCGAACGATCTATTTTATTCACCATATGTAGCTTAATAAAAGAAAAAAACAAAGAAAAGAGTATTGTTCTATTTCTATAAAAGGCAATTCATATTTTACCCAAAATCAGTATTAAAACAGAAGTTTCAGTAAAAGCATGCATGCATTTCTCTAGCTATCAAAATTTAAACTCGTCAAACTTCGTTGAGGAATGTTTTTGTAGAGAGGAGGAGCGGTTGAAGACATTCGATGCCTGGCCACTTATAAATCCAAAACCTAGAGAAATGGCAATAGTTGGATTTTATTATACAGGACAAGCAGATAGAGTTACTTGTTATTTTTGTGGAGTGGAAATTTGTCGTTGGAAAGAAACAGATTCACCACTAGCAGAACACAAACATTAAGCTAGCAACTGTGCTTTAATGCGGGGGATTCCAACCAACAATATACCATTGAACCTAAAGGAATTTAACAATATCCTACCTGAAGCAGGTTGAAAGAATTGAATTTTTGTTTTCTTACATAATTATAAGTTACATCAGTTCCGAGATACTGCAGTATTTCCAAAGGAGGTTGAAGATTGCCGAAGCTATCAAAATATTCTTTTTTATTATAATTTTTATAGTATGCTACCCAATGGGTCCCAGGACCTTTATACGAATCGAGATTAACAATGCCGCATTCTATAATATGTGGTTTTTTGGGGAGTTTGTCGCGCATATATACTCCTCTAAAATGCGGAATATATTTCCTTGCAAACGTTCTAATATCTAAATCTGTTAGAGTTCTATTTGGTAGCTTACATATTAGTTTTTTGTCGATAGCTTATTTTTGTATGTAATACCCATCCCTTTTTTAAATAGTTTGAGGTAGAGTCCCTTGCCTATAGCTATGTTTTCCATAGATTTATTATGACGAATATTTTCTTCTAACTGTCTCTTTGCATCCTTTGTTGAGTTTATTGCTTTCATTATAGATGATCCACCAGTAGCCAATGCCCCCACTGCACTGAGGGCAGTTAAAATTGGTATTATTGGTAAGAATCCACCAATTTTCGGTATTCTTATAACTCTAAGAATAATAACTTTAGATTTTTTCTCCTTGAATGATTTTCCAATTTCTTTGTGAGCAATATTTATCGCTGCATTGATATCATGCGGTTTCTTCTTTTTTAATACTGATGTTGCATTTTTTACTGCAGAAGAAAATAAGTTCTTTTTGCATATGTTTTTTTTCGTTATACCCATACCAAGTTTGGATTTAGCTTTCATAGTGTTGGTGACCAAATAAGCATTAACTTTTTCTCCCCAAGTACAATCTTTCGCTTTAACTCGACCCCAAGTTGAGACAATCCAAATTTTCTCATTATAGTTAAACAAGACCATGTTAATATGAAACATATTTTAATGTGCATGTTGGAGGAGATATGTCTTTTAACAAGTTTGTCGAGATTTGTCGAGTACGCTGGAAGGATAAATATGGATTTTTTAGTTATAAGCAAAGATTATAGCATTTTGAAAAAAGGATTTAATGGTTTATACATATTTAGTATTCCATTATACTTTGATTCAATCAGTCATTGCGCTTAATCCGTCCAGCTATATTGAAAGCTACAGCCTTTCATACGTAATATTTTTTTATGTAAAAAAAAAACACCTGTTTAAAAACCATCGGTTTAGAAACCACCAGTTTGGAAACCATCGGTTTAAAAACCACCAGTTTGAAAACCATCGGTTTAGAAACCACCAGTTTGAAAACCATCGGTTTAGAAAAATGGACGACGACGTTTTAAAAGAACTTATTAAATCGAGGAGTGTTTTAAAAGGAAAATTTCAATCAATCAAACTGGGAGAGAACGAGATGGTGAAGCGATTAGAGTACACATTCAAACCAATAATAAAACCACAAAAAATGTTGTAAAATTATCTCATTTAAATTTGGCTGAGACCAAGAATAAAATGAACATAATTAAAAATGAATCTAAAAATGATAAAGATGAAACCAAGTTCAGTGTTAAACACGAGGATCAAGATGACTCCATTGATGATACATTTTATTCCGACGAAGAACCAGAAACAGTGTATGATAATGGCACTAACAATTTGAATGCATTATTGGAAAAAAATACATTTGATGCAATATATGGTCCACACAAAGACGATTGGAATTTTGGAAATAGCAAGCTATATTTTGTTGATGATAAAATAAAAATTGAAAATCAAACATGGGCTCTAACAGCTGGTTTATATAACATACTGCTTCATAAAAATCCAAGTGGTTACGATAAATATGGATTAGATATATACAAGAAAATTTTGGAAAATACATGCGTACATCGAAAAAATAATGAACCTAATGGACAAATAAGAGGAAACCGAGGCCCAAAATATACAAGAATAATAAAAAAATTATTTCAATCTACTCACACTGGCGAGGGCCTAATGAATGTTATTCTCAAGAAACCAAACTATGTATATTGGGATCATCCTAATGAACTTGTTAATCGTTTAAAATTATTAGTAGCTTCTAAAAATGCTGGGCATACTAATCAGGACAACGAAATCACATCAATTATTGAAGAGTTAAGATAAGCCAATATAATACACTGATTTTATTAGAATATTATCAATTATGAAATGAGGGTCGATAAATTCGGTCACTACTCCAACTCTAATACTTTTAGAAAAAATGCCTCAAAATTTTTGGGCATTGCTATTGACCAGCATAATAACATCGATATCAAAAATAGGAAAATTAAAAATTTGGGCCAACCGTCGGAAAATAACGACGTAGTCAACACAGCTTACCTACAAACACAAATCGTACACGTTAAAGAAATTATAAAAGAGAGATAAGCTTTCCTCGCCGAAGAGTTATAACAAAAGACATTGACGATTTATGGCAAGCGGATTTAGTGGAAATGGGAAATTATTCTACAATTAATAAAGGAATGATGTACTTGCTCACAGTTATTGATACTTTCTCTAAATATGCCTGGAGGGAAGCAGTTAAAACAAAAGGTGCTTACGATGTGTGCAAAGCATTCACAAAAATTTTGAATGGTGGCAGAATACCCAAAAATTTACAAACTGATGATGGCAAAGAATTTTTTAATATAGACTTTACTAAACTTATGAAAATATATTGAATTAACCATTATTCAACATATAGTGTTATGAAAGCATCTGTCGTTGAAAGGTTTACCCGTACCTTAAAATCTATAATGTTTCGAGAGTTCTCCTATAATGGAACATATCAATGGATTGACCTTCATAAAAAAATGTTGCTTAATACTGCCTATAATCATATTAAAATATTTCCTCCATCTAAATATCGTGTAGGAGATTATGTTTGAATAAGTAAATATAATAATGTTTTTGAAAAAGGGTATACACCGAATTATACTACAGATATATTCCGAATAAAATCAATTCAAGTGACAAATCCAGTAACATATTTATTAGAAGACTATGTAGGTAATCCCATCAAAGGTGGTTTTTACAAAGAAGAATTGAAACGTACACGATATCCTAATACTTATTTTGTGGAGAAAGTTTTAAAGACCAAGGGAGATAAAGCGTATGTGAAATGGTTGGGGTTTTCTAATAATCATAATTCTTGGATAAATAAAAACGACTTATTATAAGAGAATATTGTAATATCTATTTACATCAATACATAAGATTTGAATAATAAAATTTTTTAATTTATAAATACCAAACATATGTCTTTTCATTTCTATATAAGCCTTCAATATGTCAATTACACTTGCGCTAACCGGCAAGTCTTCAACTTTAACTGCTAATTATTTCCCACCAATTCAATTACATGAGGATTATGAGTGTTCATTAGTTGACTTCCACTCATACAATTCTATACCAAATATCGATTTCCATAACAATTTGTTTCATATTGGAAATAAAACAATAGAAATTGCTATTGGTTGCTATGAACTTGAGGATATTGTCGACTACATTAAAAGTGAATACGAAAACGAAGACAACACAAAAACTATAGATATTATAGCTAATAACAACACATTACAACTTGAAATATTTTCATCCCATGATATTAATTATTTTAATAATGAACGTTCTATCTGTACGCTTTTTGGTTATTATGGTGGTGGACCTGGACCTGGTGTAAAGCATTTTTCACATTACCCCGTAAATATTTTAAGAGTGAGCGCAATACAAGTTCAATGCAATATAACAACTGGAGCATACATGAATAATGCGCCTGTGCATACTCTACACGAATTTGATATAAATGTTTCCCCTGGATATAAAATGGATGAAATACCAAGCAATTTAATTTATCTTCCTGTGAATGCGAAAGAAATAAGTTCGCTTAAAGTGTGGATCGTTGATCAAAATCAACGACTAATAAATTTCAGAGGAGAAGAAATTACCCTTCGACTACACTTGAGACCAATATCAAAATGATTATCTATAATAAATATATGAATCAACAGAAATATTCAAACATTCCAATAAAAACAATCAACCCTAAAACATTACCACTCACGGATAAAAGCAAACAGTTTTTAAAATCTATTAAACTACGTCTCAAGGAAAATGACTGAAATACTTAATGTTGAAGACAGACCGTTCTCAGATGACACTTTTATTAAAAAAGATTATCATAGCTATGTTCCATACATCCGTTCTTTCAAAAACAATGATGAAATAAGAATTACAATTCAAAATCAAGATTTATATCTATTACCAAGTGAAAGTTATATATATGTTGAAGGTTCGGTAACATTACCAGGAGGAGAACTATCGTCTAATGCTCGCTCGCGTAATAACTGCGTAGCCTATTTCTTTGATGAATCCGATATGAAATAAATGGTATTGAAGTCGATCGCACATGCCATTTAGGTGCATCGAGCACAATAAAAAATTTTGTTTCTCTCTCAAGTGCTGAACGCAACATAATGAGAAATGCAGGATGGAATAATGGTGAAGATCTAAGCATGGGTGTATTCAACTTTTGCGTCCCACTCAAAAGGCTGTTGGGGTTTGCAGAAGATTACAACAGAGTCATTTTACATAGTAACCATGATCTTATTATGTTGCGGAGCTCAACTGATCTAAATGCATGCTATTCTACCGACTCGAAAGAAAAATTAAATTTGACAATCACAAATATAACATGGAGAATACCTCATATACATTTATCGGATGCATCTAAATTACAAATTATGAAAACAATTAACATTGGAAAGTCGCTCCCTATTGCGTTTCGAAGCTGGGACTGTCACTTTAATTTAACATTTCCAGGTTCAACAAAATGTCATTGGAATTTTAAATTATCAACAAATAGTGAAAGACCATTCACTCCAATTTATTAAATGTTAAGGTTCATTTAAATTCCGAAACATATCCATATGATGATTTGA